TAATTTTCTAAATTGGTCAATGATAATCATCGGCAGATTTTTCAAATAACATGTACACCGGATGCTTTACTATAGCCTCAATAATGCTGAGATTTGATGAATGCCGTCAAAAGAAAGCCTGTCATCGGATTTTCAATTATATTTTGTGTACAGTTAGTCGTCTATGGAAAATCTATCATTATGATAGGTTTCTGTAGACAGTTGAAAATTCGATAACAGGTTTTCTTTTGACAGCTCTCATATATAGTATAGAAGTTGGAAATCGTAAATATGAAAGATTTTTTGTACATAGTAATAATAAATATTAAAAGCGAATAAATAATCAGGATATATAGACATAATTGAAATTAAAATTTTATTCTACAATCAACCCTATTTAATAAATATAATATGTATATAATTTAGATTTTAAGGAAAGGTTTAGTTAAGGTGGGTTAAATTATATGTAAAATTCTGTACTGAAAATTTTTATATACTTAGTACTAGAGGTGCAGACATTTAGAATTTTAGAGGTAGCTTCCCTAGCAAAAATATCACGGCGATACGGTATAAGTAGAAGTGCCGCATGCCGTATAAATGTACAGGTAAAAGCGTTGGTGTTATACGACTGATTTTTCACACGGTGTGCAACATATAAAATAATAAATTTACAATATTAGATCATTCCGCTAGCACATGTTATTATTATAATCCAACACCATTTTTATTAGTAAAAATGGTGTTGGATTATAATCACTAGCGGAATGATCTGGTATTGTAAATTTATTATTTTATATGTTGCACACCGTGTGAAAAATCAGTCGTATAACACCAACGTTCTTACCTGTAGTATAAATGCCGTTGTATGCTGTATTAATACCGTATGCCGCCATTCATCTAGATGATCTATTAATCGGTGGATTAAAAAAGTGATTCATGTTTACAAACACCTATTTACTACTAACTAGTACCCTTCAGATTACCTTTCTATTCGGTCAGTGAGTATTACAACAAATTTTTAATAAAAATATATAATGTTTGACAACGATTAAAGTAACCTAAATACAGCAAAAGTATACATTGTAATAAAGACAACACGTTTAAAGCATAATGTTTGGCCAACAAGTAAAAATGTGAATATTAATGATTGCATCAGAGAATTTCAGCTTAGAACCCTGGGAATGCAATTGAACGGATTTCATTCAACAAATTGCCGTATAAGCGCTTGTGGGCATTATTTTGAAAATCGGATCCTTCAAAAAAATAACTTATATGTTCTCGACATTAGCACTATGGGGCATCCCGAAATAGCGCACATCCTAATGTAGCACATAATTTGTTGTGATAAATAATATGAGTGCCGCCAAGGGAAAACCTACAAGTCGTACTTTTTGAATATTTACTTTTAATAAAATTAACTTAAAATCAGGCAATAATTTTAATCATAACCAAATCCTCTTTTGCCAATTTCTTTGACGTTAGATACCGTATAAGTGCGAAATAACGCCTGACTGTGCGTTATTTTGAATACACCATGTGCTTAACGATAATATTAAATAATTTCATCAAAATTATGTGCACTTATCATTATAGGGAAAGTGCACTTATAGCAACAAACATTAGGATGCGCGTTATTTCGAAATAAGAGTAAATCCAATAGTCAACCTTCCATAACTGCTCGTTTTTGGGTAAAAGTGCGTTTATAGAATATTCATTTATGGGGCATAATCTACATATAACGATAGTATTAAATAATATATAGTTATTTTATGATTTACTATCTCAGATTTATGAAATAGTTCAATTATTTTATCATTTAAAAATACCATAAATTAATTGATTTATTTTATAAACTGATCATAGTAAAGCATTAAATAATTTCATCAAATTATGTGCACTTATCATTATAGGGAAAATGCACATATGGAGTGCCGACTGTATATGAGTATCACTAAGGGAAAACCTACAAGTCGTACTTTTTGAATATAAAACTTTAATAAAAATAACTTAAAAACAGGTAATTTAGTACCTACTGTTCTTAATATTATTTGAATTGTCTCATTAAGATATTCAGCAACTTGATTGGATGATACGTATACGAAAATTGATTTTAATTGTGTAAAGCGCATGAACCAAAACTATTGATTTTTTGTGTTTACTGAAATTTGATTGACCAGCGAAATTTTTCAGGATAGTAATGCTATACGGCAATATAACCTCGGGGTGGTACGACCTCTACGTCATAGCCGTAATGCATCATTACTTAGTACACAAAATTTGTCATCCAAGTTTTATTATTGTTTTGGTTACATGATATCCTGTAATCTGTTTGGTTGCATAGTTCGGAGGTTTCGATTATAGTTCGGGGTTTCGGAAGTTTCGAATTTTTTTAAAAAATCCCGAAACTAGTTTCGGGTAGGTATCGTTTCGTTGCACAACTCTAATGTATACCAAAATTTAGTAAAAAAATGCTGACTATAGTTCTAATATTAAAAGATACAGTAAGACCTCCCTAAGTGCACACTCTATAAGTGCACGGCCTATGTAAATTCTCTCTAAATGCACGGCATACCTTAGCCCCAACTTATAAGATCACTATATATTTTGTTCTCTATAAATGCACATACTCTTTAAGTGCACATTTTGCTTTTTTTTTTACTATGGTCTCGAGGGGGTGCACTTAGGGAGGTCTTACTGTATTTTTAAATAATCTTATATAAGGCCACACAAACTTAATTAATTGGTTCTCATAACCCGGCCGGGTCAAATTCAACAAAATTTTGAAAAAAATTTTACTAAATTTATTTATCCGGGTGAACTTTTTATGTTTTTTACATATAAACTTTTTTGAAAATAAAATTAAAGCCGGGTTGCCGGGTCATTTTTAAAATTTTATGTTGTGACAACCAAAAAATTAATTTTATATGCCTAACTTATATTTATATAATCAGCATAGAAAAAAGATTTTTTTAAAATATCCCTTTTTTAAAATAATAATTTTTTTTTTAAAAAATAAAATTCAAATTAAGATTTATTAAAATAATGTTACGGGTGAATCGTACGATCGATAATCTATACTATAAAATATGGCAATTCGCCAGTGACGTGACGCAATAATAATTTATTTGAGTAATCGATTAAAGGAATTTATCAAAGGAATTTATTAAAAGGAACCCCGTAGGATGTCCTTTTACAATAGTGAAATTTCAGTGCTTTTATAGCTTTGACTATTCTAGAGAATTCCCGGGGCTTAGGATTAATGACATTTTACATCTTTTAAAGAATTTGGGAGATCAATTCTAAAGCAGGGGCTTAAAATAATAATTACACCATATTATATTAACAAAAAGGGCTTTGCTTCGCTTATTGCAATATGAAATATTGCAGCCACCTGCAATTATATCTTTATTCTTTTGTTCTTTTACCTCTTCCTCCTGCGCGTACTTGTTCTTCGGATGTTTGCGACAAGCCTCAGCCTTAATTACAGTGGCGGATCACGAGTTTACTGACGATAACGATAAAATTAATTAATTAATTGGTTTTCATAATCAGTCGGGCCAAATTTCGAAAACTTCAAAAAAAAGTTACATGTTTTAATAACCAGATGCAAAAATACCGCTCCTAATAGGGTTATAAAAACCACTTACTATTAAAATATTAAACTACGTATACGTACGTAAAAATTCATTGCCTAACCCGATTATAAGAACAAAAATAAACAAAAAATCGGAAATAATTTTGCATGCATTCGGTCATTTAGTAATAAGTTTTCATATCCTTACCATATTTATGTGAAATGATGCCCATGGGCGTTATTTTAAGAGTGCTACAACCACAAATTTATTGTTGCTAAATTAATTACAGTCTACCTTCGTTAATATCAACCTAAGCCATAAGATAAATTTTTATATATTAAAACTCCCTCATATATTAACTTTTAATATAATCCCTTGTTAATATCACTATAAACATGAATTTAAACCAATTCAAATGGGTTGATATAAACGAGGGTAGACTGTATTAGCCCTTTTCAAATTACATGTCTCCATGGACGTTATTTCGCGTAAATATGATGCTGTATTATTTTAAGGATCAATATTTAGATCAGTCGAAATCAACGTTATGAATTAATCACTTTAACATTCCCTTTATAACTAAGCATTGCCATGAAAAATTGACTTCAGAGAACCCTATCAGGAACGGTATGTAATCTACTTTTTTTTTCATCAGGAACGGTATTTTTTGCATTAAAATTATTACTATTAAAATTTAGAACCACAAGAAAGTTAAAGCTTTGTTTAATTAAACGTGAAATGTCCAACTACATTATATTTTAAAAAAGAAGGTGTACTTTTGCGAAACCCCATATTGCACAAAATAAGTTGTATGTGATAATAACATTTGGAGTCAAATCCTCCATACGCTACTATAAAAAATCGTGTTATTTGATCGCACCAGATATGCTATTTCTTATGAAGGCTTTAGTAATCAGTGTTTGAGGTACTAAGTAAGAATGTTCAGCACTCTAAAAAACCTAACTTCCGACTTTAATTTGGACTCTAGCCCTAATCTAAAATCTAATCTTAACTTTAAAATTTAAGATAAACTCTATAAAATCTTGGTAATAGTCAAAAACATATAGCGGTGAAAATTCACCTCCGGTGATTTCTAAATTAATTACCCAAATATAAATCGATGTCCAAATAAATTTTTGCAGTTTGATATCTAAATATTTTCGGGTCTTTGAATATGATCCAGCGGATCCAGTGGACTATTTCCCAAAATAAAGTTGGTTAGTTACGGGTTCGTATACCAAAACCACAGTAAAACCAGCATCTTACCGTGTTTTACTTCCGTTAGGTGTATTCATAGGAATTTTAGATACTTCAATATTTGGAGCACAACCAACATTTTGCCATTCAAGTACTGAATAGTCACATTCTTTTAATGGAGAAAATTTCTTATTTGCATTTATTCTAATGTAATTTGACGAATTGGTCATTTGGGTTGATATGGATTTTCCTGAAGCGGTTATAACAGCCTCGCGAATGAATTTAGCTGTACGCTGAAATGAAAATGAAGCTAATTCGCTGAATCCAAGGATCTGTATAATATTTACGTAAAAAATTTTAATTTCAGGAATTTATTTATTTATTTATTTTTATTTTATTTTATTTTATTTTTTTGAAAATAAATATTCTAGTAAATATAATAGACAATATACCTGGAACATATGAGGCATTTCTTCATAAATTTCAAGAGTAACATTTGTAGGTGTTTCATATGGTGATATCTCAAATTTGCCAGCATTATATATTGGTAATAAATATTTTGAAGGTTGACTGGCTTTGAATGCAAGATAAATAGTCTCATCACGTAACCTCTCTGTATCACCCGTCGTCTATAGTATCATGTATAAATTCCAATACACTGACATTCGAATTTCGATCATTGTAAATACCGGATCAAAATTCGGGACCTTCTTCATTCGGATGCCCGTATTAGATTTTATATAACACGGTTAAACACACATTATCTGAATTTTCGATCATCCATCATACTGGGCAACAGTAAAAGTAAATTCACATTAACACCAAGGTGACGACATTGAAAGTATAGTAAATGAGAAAAAAGCTATTAGTGGAGATAAATTGTGAAGAAACCATTTATTGATATACGAATTATAATTTATAGGTAGGCTAATTGGTGTTAGTTGTAGTGAAGGACTGTTAGGCTTAGGAAATACCGAATTGTTCCTGATTATCATGTGATTTCAATTATATCGATATACGATTTTAGGGGAATTCTGACGAGATGCAAATATTGTTATAGGAAAGTGACTTTTTTGATACTATGCAAATCGGACTTTTAAGTTCTAATCATACAAAAGGATTTTATAATTTATTACCATAGCGATATATCGCGGAGTTTCAAATTGTGCTTACAAATCATTAAAATTAATGATTTGTAAGCAAGTTTTGGAACTCCGCATAGCGATATATCACTATGGCGATAAATTACAAAGCCTTTTACAAAAATACATTTCACGAAAAAACTAGCTTTTTTCGTATAAATGTATTTTATAAAAACATATGTAATTTGATAAGATGAACAACTTTACTTAAAGCCTAAATGTTGATTTGTATAGTATCAAAAGTCACTTTTCTTAAAACAACAGTTGCATTTCGCCAAAACTCAAATAATTTTTGCATCGCATATAATCGACAGTTAATTGTCACGGTTTCCCAACTCGAGGCTTGAGCATTTCCTTTTGTGCCTGTTTGTTTTTCTGTTTATTTATCATACGATAAGCACCTGATAGAATGTGACCATGGTTGGGGGAGAAACTGGTTATTGCTCACAATCGTTGTGGAAAAAACTAGTGAGACCATTTTCCTGGCACGGGTTGCTCACAACTCGTGCACAACGTAGCGAAGCAAAATTGTAATTTCGGAAGGGTGTAGCGCAGTAGTTCATATTTTAGGAAAATGTATTTAAGGACCTCAATAAAGCTTCTCTCAAGCTTCGATGTCTAATGAATTGGAGATACTGTAAAAATCGATCTCTCAAGTGTTTAATTGATTTATGCTTGTGTTAATTTCACTTTACATATAACCTACGTTTATTTAGTTTATGTTCGATACATTAAATACTTTACATATAACCTACGTTTATTTAGTTTATATTCGATACATTAAATACTTTACATTTCGCTATCCTTACATTTAATTACCGTTATTACACTCGTACTGCGTAATCCCTGCCCTCGCAAATTAACCACATCACTAACGTCAAATTAAATCGATCTTTCTTCTCCGATCCCGATTAAATTAATTTTCGTGATATTATGTAGGCACGTGACCGTAACTATCAACTTTAATATTAATTAATTAATTAACCCTACAATTTGATATTGTTCTCCCTACGATAATAAAAATATCTCGTGATTTTGTGATCAGAATTGTCAATGGATCACGGGATAGTAAACGTATAATTATATTATTTATTTATATTATTATTGTGTAACTACATGCGCATAAAATCAACCAAATTACCCTCTATATAAAAAAAATATAAAATTGTACTCAACTCTACAAGTTGATTCTCCCCAAAATTGGGTTGGATCCAAAAAAAAAAAAAAAAAGTACGTAGAAACTTCTTTTACATGTGAAGACGTTAAAATGACCTAGTATATACGTACAGTACTCTGCTTTTTTTTTCAATATGAGTGGATCTTCTATCAATGATTACCATCTAACATGAATTTGTGGTATAAATAGATTCGAGAAAATTTTTTTTTCAAAGGTTCGCTTTCAACATCACCGTAAAAGAATGGCCGATGCAATAAAGTTTATTTTCCCAAAGATTCCAACATTAATTTCTACAATAATAGACCATTATAAAAATGGCCCTCCCAAACCGTCATGGAACTTATTATTTCACCTGTCTTTTAGGTTTACTAAGTTAGCACTTGATGGTTTTGATTATGTAACGATTGAAAATGCTCAAGCATTTTCAAATATGTCCGTTGCCATTTCACCTGATTTTGCAGTAAATAAAGTTCGAATTTCTAACGAATACAGAAAAAATGCAGAACAATACATTGAAAAGTTAATGAAAGAATATGAGCACATGATTGATGATGAATGGAATAAACTTGATAATCTAAAAGAATTAAGTGCTGAATGGGTTTACATGAGAAAAAATGGGTTTATGCGAAAAGAAGATAAAAGAATAATCTTATATCTTCATGGTGGTGCTTATATTATGTGTAGTGCTGGATCACATCGTGCCATCACATCAGGCATTGCAAAAGCTGCTGATGCTCATGTTTTCGGTGAGTAGAAAGAAGGTTTGAGACTTAGTACTTATTAACGCTACGTACAATAATCTGAATAAAAAAAAAAAATTACATAATCAAAGTTATCAATTACCGGTTGGCGCCACAAAATCAATTTCCCGCGGCCCTGCATGATGCACTAGCTGCCTATTTATATCTCATTGATCCACCAAGAGATGCTGGTTTCAGTGCAATTAATCCTGAACAGATTGTTATAATGGGTGATAGTGCTGGAGGCGGTCTTGCCATTGCTACATTACTGGCACTACGTGATAGTGGTTTGCCGATGGTTGCTGGCGTTGTCGGTTGGGTTAGCACACACCTATAAATTTTCTTTTTATATGCTAACATTCAAATTACCACATTAGTCATGAAATTTCTTATGTATTTTCTAGTCACCATGGGTTGATTTGACACATAGTATGCCATCCGTATTAAACAGAGATTGCGATAAATACGATTACCTTCCAGGTTCTACTTTACAATTTCTTCCTTCTCAAGTTCAAACCCGATTCCTTGAAAAATCCGCTGCACTCTCTGAAAAAATAAAACAATCAAACAAGCCAAGGACATGGCATAAGTCCCTTGATCGAGAAGTTCGAATTCAACTATATGCCGCTAATGAGGCCTTATCAATTCCTTATGTAAGGTAAGAATGATC